CACAGGAATTGGTGATGACAACCTTGCAGTCTTCATGTATTCCTAAGAATGTACTACTAACTGTTCAACAGTAACTTCATAGAGGAATATACTGGTCCCAGCAGACAGTTCAGACGCCCTCCTAAAGCAGAACATGAGGAACTTCTTGTGTAAAGCTGAACATCCATTCATACAGGTGTATCTTGACCAGTTATGGGAACAAAAGGTGTCCCTGTACACACGTACAAAGGAAACAGTATGGAGAAACACTTGACTGACAGACACTCCAGAGCACAAGCTGTAGGGAGAGGCCTCCCCTCCCAAAAAGACTCAATCCAAGAGTTCCATGAGGTAGAAAAATCTTATGAAAAAATGAAACCGTGACATTTCCACCAAGACAACTTTACATCTTTGGTTTTGCATATTGAAATACTAAATCCTACAATTCAAAGAGACTAGAGCCTCCTGTCTAGAAATCTAACACAGAATAGAAAATACAAGCAACTTCAAAACACACTTGCCTCTCCATTTGCAGTAACCTGCTGTGCCTTTGCTTGGTAACAGTACTTCAGCTTACCTGATTTAAAAGCAAAATCATGAATAAAAATTCTTCTTCCAAAAAGTAGTAATCAGCTAGAAGGTGATAATTCACTGAATGGAATGTTGTAATTTCTAATTTTCCAATCTACTTGCATGAGGAAGGCTTAAGGCTCCAGGCTGCAGATTCAGTACCATACAAATTTGGAAGATCACAGTTGCTGGAACACTCCAGAGGTAGGAATAAAACAAAACAGTTTCAACATGAAAAAGTGATTAATCTTGAGCAGAAATTATAAGTGTTCCTTGGAGTAAAGAGTCCTTTTGTTGGTTGAAGGATTCTGACTCACACAAGTAGAAAGAGATGAGCAGAAAAGAAAACAATTTTGATTTAAGTTTTATAAGAGAATGAGGATGATTGCCCTAGAGACTCAAAACCCAAAATGTGCCATTCATATTTAAAATTCTATGAAACTTTTGTTCTTTCTCGTCTCATTTCTACTATGACAAGAAGACTAAGTATAACCACAGCTTAAGAATAGCTGATGCTCCAAGTGTACCCATCTCAACCAAAATTGCGACCTCTGCTCCTCAAATATTTTACCTCATAGTATGCAAGTTGTCCTGCTGCAGTTTGATCACAAATTGTCAGTGGACCCAAGGTCAGAATTCAGAACTCGTTTTCCAGAAGTAATCTGGGAAACATTAAACACTGAAGAGAGACATAACAGAAAGGAACCATGTATCCATCATTATTTAGCTTCCCGAGGATGCATGCCATGTGAACATTCCATAAGCAAAGAAAGCGCAGTACTGCTTCACCTTTCCAGTCCTTGAATGCTGAATTACAATGCTCCCAGGAGAGTTCCAGGTCTTCAGTTCAGTCAGCTCACAGCTACCTAGCTGCACACTGCCAGAGACAGCATGAACTTCATAGCAAAAAAATCCAGCTCAACCATATTCTTCAAATCCCAAGGTCTGTCCAGTACTGTGTGGGTGGCAGCAACATGAACAATAAGATGGCACAGCCTGCTAAGGGAAATTGTGTCCTAAGGGCACAAGAAATGATTCACCATGACAGCTGCATTTATATAAATGAACCAAGTATTTTTTCTTCTGGTAACAATACATTTGTTTAGATGACAGCAAGGTGTCCCACAGGCAGAATTAATTTATTCCTTTCAAAAGGATTCTCAAAGTGTTCCAATGATGTTGAAATCTCAAATTGGGAAAAAGTGATTTTGGCTGGTGAGATCATGTTCTCTCTCATTAAAAAGCACAGTACCTACAGACTATTCTGCAGGAATCACACTTTCTAATGTGACTTGCAACTTACAGTTCTATGGTAATTTTTACCATATTCAAATGCATTAGATGTGGGCTTTTTGGGGATAGGTTAATATATGTTTCAGTGTAACGTCACAACTCTACTTTTCCAATTCAATCCTTTCAGAAAAGATTCTACTGAAATCCTCTCAGCATCCCCATGGTTACCTAAACGGTTGCTCAGAGATTAAAAGGCTTCTGAAAATAGTTAAAACAACGCCTTACACAAAGAGAAGAGCAGTGATGTATTCTATGTATCGACAGACAGGCAGGGAAAAACTAATGGACAGGATTAACAAAGATGACTGAAGCAAAGTCCAAAAAATGCCAAACCCAACTTGATGTGTGAAATGTAAAACTAACTTGTACCAATACCAATTCTTCCCTTTGAAAGACTGGGAACTAATAATGCAAGATAAGTTATTTATCTTTGTTGATGTAAACATTAAAGGAAATAAAAACAGATTTCTAGAACTGACCTAATACTCAGCTATTATTTCATTCTTTCTTACCATAGTCAGACCATCACACTTAATGAGCAATCCTACAGTAAAACACAAGGTGACTGAAGATGACAACTGTGCTGTATTCACATAGCACAGCATGTTGCACATTCCCTTGCAAAAACCACATGTACTTCTCTCATGAGACAGGTAGCTTCAATATTAAAAAAGTAAACTGACTTGAAAAAAAACTGAAGTGTCATTAAGAAACTATAATTCACAGAAAATACTGTTTAAACAGTCAACTTTGTTGAGAAGATAGCAACTCCATTCTGCAGCAGCTGATGTCTTATTCAGAGCTGAATTTTTCAATGTGATGCACAGAAACAGCTCAACTTAGAGACAGCACAACTGCATGCATGGTCAAAGATGGATCATTATATGAGAGTGCTAGATGCGTATCTTCCTGTTCAGTTATCAATGAAAGCTGGTATTCATTCTGCTCAGTGCTGTGAAAGGTTCTACTGACAATTTCAGTGAGCGTAAGAGTAAGAGCTAAATCAGGATCAAGACAATGTATTCTGTACTGAAGGACTTCCCAGACAAAAGCAAAATCACTAATCACCAACCTCTGCTTAGGAGCCAAGCAAGGGATTAGCTAGCTATTCTCAGTTCTGCCAGCAGCAATGATGAATTTTTCCTTTTTGCTTGATTTCTTCAGTCACTGAATGTCTGGAGTATGTAGAATCTACTACAGGTTGTAGTTCTGGCATAATTTATTTTCTTTCAGAGCCACTTCCCATCAAGAAGTTGAAGAGTGGTCTGGTAAGCATTCAAACCAACTGAAACAAATGGCAAAGATTATGGATATATTGATATTTCTGTACTAAAGAAGAGGAAAACAACTGACCTTCAGGAAAACAACAAAACCCAAGCCCTTCAGCCTTTTCTGGTCAAACAGTCTGACAACAGCCTACAATGGTATGTTTTCATAACTGAATTTTGCTTTAAACTTCAAGACTGATATATTTTCTGTCAGTACTCATCAGAGTAAAATATAATTTAATGTATATTCTCTGCTCATTTTTCTTTAGTCCTACATGCACCACAGAATAAACAGCATGACATAACCTCTCAGTACTATCTGCTAAAATAATTTCAAAATTTGTAAAACCAGTAAACAATATTATAACTTCTGACAGACACTATCCATTTGAATGCTCCAGAAGTATTCTTTAGTCTGGAAAGAAAAATGTTAGAAAAGGATCTGGTACAGTTGTATTATCAAAAATACAGACAAAATCACTATCAGTTCTTAAGAGTCAAGAAGAAGCATCAACTCATGGTGTGCCACGAGAACTCCAGTTTTGTTATCAAAAACTGAGTATAGACTGAAACCCATTTTACACATACCTGAGAGTAACTCCTCCAAAGTGAAGCTCACCTGATTTCCACAGCAATACACAGTACTCATTTCTTGTTAACTATTAGTTTCCTTTTGTCAACAACTCTCCATCACAATTCAAAGAGTACTTACTGAGCACAATATTTTGAGAAGTATATATGCTATGTAAAGTAAGTGTACGCAGAAAATGTACATTTAATACCTTCTATTTATAAAATGCTGCATTCAGGGAGCTCAATTTTCTTGTATTAAACATATCCAGGGCATAATACAAGTTCAGCTATTCCCCTTGTTTACTGAAGAACTTTTAATCATGCACCACAGAAAAGGCTGAGAAGCAGCCAATAAACCAAAACATTAGAATGGCAAACAAACCCATCTATTACAACCATGCTCTCCTTCAACAACCTGAACTACCACCACACCAGAACAAGCTGATTTACCACCCTAGAGGCAAAGTACAATGTAATCACTCAACAGAGAAGGAAAATCCAGGACTTCATTTTCTTTCCTCAGAAAGATCAGGAGAAAAATTCAATTCACCATTAAAACAGCAGTTATTTTCAAATTTAAACCTCTTTCCTGGTTACAACATTGTTAATGCAAAGCATTTGCTTTGAAACCTGTGAGGACAAAAGAAAGTTTTCATCAGCAAACCCGATGCTCTGCGGAAGTGGTATCCCAGCATCTACGAAGAATCTGTACCACTTTTAATAGTGTGGACTGTTATTCATTAATTTTTTTTATCAAGCTTAACACGTTTATCAAAGGAAAGGAAGGATATAACTTCTGGTCTTTGTCACTACTTTTAATGATGTATCTCTATGACTCAGTAGACTTATGAATGGAATTAAACACCCTGATAGGGACCAGTGTTGACTAAAAGACATAATAAGACCAAAACAAATTTTCTAGGCTGCCCCTCATAACACTCTGTAGTACCCATTTTCTTATTGAGCATTAAAGACAAGTTTTTCATACACTGCTACCTTGAACATTACAGAACCACCCAACACAATTCATACTCACGTAAGTAATGAAAATTTGACATAACTGAGAAACTAGGATCCAAACATAATGATATTCCTGCTTTCCAGGAACATGAAATCCTAAAGGCCAGCAAGACCTGGGGTCTTAATGGATCTGTCTATGACAAGAAGAGCAGGCAAAAAGCCTAGAAGACAGGACACATTCCAGAATATGAGCACAGTATGTCTTCCAGGTAAGGATGGCTCTGAGCACTAACATGTGAACAAAGACCACATTTAAAACGTCAAACAAAAACCATACTATATGGTCCACCAAGAACACTGAGTTTATAGTGAAATTTATTGTTCTGCTTCCTAATACAATAAGCTACAAGGTACATACAGTATAAAACGAGAACATCCACAGAGCAAAGGTGATAAACATTCTGTGATGGTACAGTGGAGGTAACATCTGTCTAATCCTTCCACTTTATCCCACAAAAAGCAGCTAAAACTACTGACCCTCCCCCTCCCTCCCCTCCAAAAATATTAAAAAGTAAACTTTCTCTCTCACTTAGGAGTAGTGGGATTCAATGAGTTTTTTGAGGGCACTGGTTATCTGCCAGTATCTCAAGAAAATTGCTGAAACTAAAATAACAAAGAAAAACTGTGAAGGTGGGAGTGACATGACCCATGCAAGATGCTCATGACACCTTGGTTCAGTTCTCCGCAGAGCAAATGGCCTGTAAAGAAAGGAAAAGTTTGTTATGTCACATAAACCAGCAATTAACGTGGTCAGAATTAAGATATAATAAGCAACATCTGAACTGAACAGGACTAGTAGGCACACAGCTAAACTACTCTAAATGGAACCACAAGCTTCCTTGTAATAAGGCTGGGAGATCCGAGAGCTGACAACCCTTTCCCCTTCATTGCCACGTGCTGTACAGAAGGGTAGGGTGCATGTTGACACAGGCACAGCTGACACCTACTACACAAACTTCCAAATCAAATAACCTTGTCTGGGAGAACTCCAACAATGGGATGAACTGCAGCCTCAACTCTTGAAAAACATCAAGGCTATAAACACTGATGGAACAATGGAAGATGAATATTTACCTTAAAGGCACAAAAATCCACTTAACCACTTTTTCATATATACTTGGTGCGGTTGAGGGCTCTCTCGGCAAGGTGCCCACTTTCATCTGTTATCTTCTCCCAGTCGGTTTGTCCAACAACAAAACCGATGGCCCTTTTCCTGTCAGCATCTTTTTTTTCTTCTAGATCTGCCCATCGCACCTATGAAGAACATCCTATCAGTACAATAATCATCCAAGAAATCCTGATATGAGTCTAGGCTTTCCACTGCAAGTAAGAATACAAGAATACTAATTTCTAATAATTTTCCTTAGAACGGGTATTATTTTTTTTCTGATAGGTAAAGAGGGAAATTATTTTTAATTGAATACACTAAGTGTTCTATGGAGTAGACGAAAGATATAGATGATAAGCCTTTTCCATTTCAGTGCTATAGTTCTGAGAGTTGAAGTGTAACTACTACAATTATTTCTCTGTTCAAAGCAACACTTTCTGCAGGAAGAATTTTCCAAGACTCATTTACTGTTTTAATTTTCTTGGAAATCTGTCTTTAAATTGCACAATCGAAACATCTAGAAGATGACTATGAAACTACAGAAAGACAGCGTTAAAGAGCAAGTCAGCAATGAATAAATAAATGAAGGACAGTTTTCTTCTCTATCTTCCGTGATATATTTCCATTTAAATTTTCACACTATTTCTTTACACATGTTATTTCCCCATCTTTACATCTCTTTATCTGCACTGCACCTCTTTGTGGTAATGCAAATCCCTTTAACTTATCCTGTTCAACATACACAGTGACATCCCCAAAACAAGACACCGATGGGAGGGAGAGCAACAGGAAGGAGGAAGGGAGAGATGCAATGAAGCAAGGCTCCAGGCCAGAAACTCAGCTGAAAAACACCACTGCAGGACAAGAAAAAACAGTAAGGGACAGAGCTCTTCGTTGCATACTGATTAGCCTCATTCAGGCCCATATGTTACTGGGGAATGTAGCCTTATCAATTTTCCGCCAGCACCTCCCTATCCACAGTCTATCTGGACTTCCCCAGACATTCCTACTGATAAGCAATGTCACTTTTCTTCCACCATCATCTCCTCTGCCAATGCCTTAAGTACCTCAATTTCTCTCAGACACGCTGTCCAGTACTATCAGTACTAATTTGACATTACAGAGCAAAACAATACCGAAACACCAATAGTTAATTCAAATTACTTCTAGTGGCAAAAGCTGGTCTTTCCATTTTGCAGGAAAAAAAAAAGCATTACCTCTTTCTATTACATCTTTCATCTCCCTCTATGATTTTCCCCCTTTCTTTACAACAGAATTTAAATATTGGCAGCACTTGGTATTCAGACCATGTCCTGCATAGTCAATCTGTATCATCTACAATTCCTAGCTCTGTTATAACTAGTATGTTTACCTCTGGAAGACCCTACTTGCAAGCATAATTTCTTACAGAAGCTAACAGAACAGCAAAATGAAAAGGGAGTCAATGAAATTCCCATATTCATAGACGTTGAATTACTTGATATAAGCTCTCTTTCACAGAGGCCATTAAAGGGTTATATACAGACAGTAAGTCATTTGAAAATGTATTACCCTTTTCTTTCCAGGTTCAGAAGCACGTGTATCATAGTCATCTGGAAGCTGCAGATAATCTTCTATTCTGCTGGCAATTGCTTCCCAGTCACGTTTTCTTTTAGTGCCAGTCCGCAAACCGTCCAGCTTGTCTGAGAACAAACACAGAGCCTCAGCGTTAAGGGAGATTATTTTTTCTATTATTCACGCAAACAAGATGAGAGTGGAAAAGTTTTCAAAAGAACGAGCAGCAGAATTTGTACATCCAGCTTGTCTTGACAGGTGTAATAATGAGAGTTGAAATAAACTAAAGAAGACTCAACACAGTTTTCAAGTTTTATTGAACTTTCATGTTAACTGTGTGGCAATAACACTCAGTGTTGTTTTCTATATGAGGGAGAAAAAGTTTGCTCTTCTGGATCTACATGGAGTTTGCCCTTACAGATACAATATAGCCAACAATAGCTAGGAACCACAGATCCATCTTTCTGTATTTGAACACAATACTAAAGCTGTAGCATTTTTCCCAAATTTGGGAATGAATACTGTGTCAAACATGGCACACATGCAGTTTCAGGGAACAAGTGGCAATTATATAACTTAATGCATCAAAGACAAGTTTTTGAGATATTGTTTCTGCTAAACAAAACACTCCTTGGAAAGGCTGATCCTCCCCTTTTTCTCTCCCCATAAGGCAAACCACTTAAAAAGTCTTCCAGGACTGGGAGAAAAATATCTCAGAATCTTTTCTTTCATGGTGTAAGAGGTCAGTCATGAATATCTGAACAGTACATTTGTCCGAGAGTCCTCAATTTCTTCTTATTGAACCGATACATGAGGAGAAACAATTCCGTTCCTAGGTTCTAAAATTTTGTTCCATTTTAGATACTTATTCTCAGTAAAGAAAACAACACCTTCTTGAAAATATGTGGCAAACTGTCTTTGGAAAGGAGATGAAACATTCATCGTAAGATTATGAACAACAAAGCATGAAAAGGAAAACCGGCTCTACAAGTCAAAGGAAATTCTGTTACTTCTGTCGATGTAAACTACCAATTTATAAGCCAACAATTTAAGTATGTGTAGAAGGAACACTAAGCTTGGCAATTACATTCATTAAACCATTACCAGTGATGTTAGAAATACTGTTTCAGAAGTCACTGTTGTAATTAAATTCACCCACAAAAGGCCTCAGAAATAGACCAAATACAAGGCAGCATTATTTTCTGGATAGCAGAAGATGATGTTCAAAAGGTATGTACTTAAAGAAACTCAATTCAGAGATGACTTTTTTTACTTAATATGGGAGAGAGAAGAGTAACAATGGAGATAACGTAAGGCAATGGTACTGTAGACATGCTAGTAAAATTTAAAGTCCATAAACTAATTAAGTTATTCCTCCCTCATACACCTCAAAACCTTTTAAAGACTCCACCTCTGCCCCATTTCCCTGGAACAGATACAGTACTTCTAATAAAACATAATAATCCCCCTGCTTCTTATAATAGCTGATACTTAAGAAAAATGTTCAGAATATTTGTATCAGTTACATTATTTAGTTAAGGTTCTTCTTTTGCTCTAAGTTAAATCTGCCAAATTTGATGCTCGATCTCCACAGAAAGGTGACACTCCCTCTAGAAGACAAAATTGATTTATACAATATTCCTCTGTTACTCCAGTTACATTCAATCAGTGTAGATCATTTGTGGCATTAAGCATTTCCAGGAAAAATAACATTGAAAAGGAGATCAACAGACTCATTGAGGAGCATTTAGGAACATGAAGAAGTGAAAATGGAGGCGCTCTCTGTTGGCAAGTACCTGTAGACAGACATATTCCTGTTGGAAGGAAGCTATGATGCAGGCTCACCTCATTACCGATGTGAAAGTAAGTTAAGGCTCCCACTCCCTGCTGCACACCAAACAACTGAAAACATTGCCAAGAAATGTGTAATGCTCAAACGTCAGTAGATAGCTCAGAAGCTGTTCTCAATATGCAGTTCCCCTCTGTCCCTTTTTGTTACTGCTACACAGGATTTATTTTAAAAAGTTATGTCCTTCCATGTTTGAAGCTGGATTGCTTTTCCAGAGAGGTCTGCTTCCATCCATACTACTGCAGTTCAAGGTACGTGTGTCATGCAGCAGACACTACACAAATGTCAAAAACCTGCCACAAAGGATTATTTCAGAATATTTTTTTCTGAAAATGAGACAAGGTGTCATTTTGTAACACTGGTGCTTGTGATCATTTATGGCTGATGATTATTTAGTGTTAAACTACTGAACATCATTTTATCATTTCATATTTAAAAACAACAAAGAAGCATTTCTGAAAACCCACAAAACTTAAAAACTCACCTTTAGAATTTTTAAAGTAACATCTGAAAGCAACTTATTTAACTAGCTCCTTCAAAAGCTAAATAAATCAATCAGTTAAATTTTGCCCTTCTTATACAAAAACCACAAAGTTTTAAGTAGAATCCCATTTGTATTCTAGAGCAAATTTTGCAATGGTATCAAAGTTTCAGGTACACCAGAAGTCATTTCCCCATTCCTGAAACTTTGTAGAACTTGCCACTAAGCCACACCTTGAAACAGAGCATTGCAATAAACACTCCAGTCAAATATTAAAAATTAGAGTCCATTACTTTAAATTTTAATATAAGAACCTTTGTGCACTATGCACTGAGAAAACCCATAAACAGACTTTCAGAATGAAATTGTGGCTGTGCACAGCACCTAAGGAAAGGATAAATCACACACATACTCAAGAGGAATGTAAGAATAAAGTAAATCTGTGCTAAAGCAAGAGCTCTGGGTCATATGTTTGGCGACTGTCACAAGTCAGTGTTTGCAGCTAGAACTCAAACTTTTCAGACATTTTCTGAGGTTTATTACAATCAGCAAGATCTTACTGTGCTGTCCTGTAAACAATATTTACTCAGGAAGAAAACAAAAAAAGCAAAACAAGACTCAGAGCATTGTTTTTGGAGTCTGCACGTACGTCATTCTGCAAATGTGTGCCCTCTGGGACTAATGCAATAAACCTAATGGGCAGGCCAGCTCCCAGGAAATAACTCAGTTTTTTAGAGTAACTAATGCACACCACAGCTTACATGCCTTTCCAGAAATAATTCTAATTGATCATCTACAATGAAGGATTATTGTGAACAAAATATAGTAATTCTTACTCACAGACTGTAAGTGCTTGTAACGTACACCTTAAGCTAAATGTTGACTGCCCTGGCAGAGTAATTTTCAAAGAAACTGCATTCTCTACATAGGAATGCCTCACTTTTTTAAAACCTAAGTTCTATCAGAATTTACTTTTAATCTATAGACCTACATATACATGAAACTGAATCTAGAGGGTAGTTATAAAAGTAAAATTGTGAATACAGATTTCACAGAAAGCCTGTCTCAGCACCTGGATCTGTGTCTTGCAGCATGCTAACATCCAGTTGGTTAATGAAGTTTGTCTGTTCAAGGATTATTTCAACAGCCTTGCAAGTAACTTACTTCAGCATAAAAGTAACTCTGCTGCTTACTCCCCATTTCACATTTAAGTGGAGACCATATAAAGATAATGTTTTTTACATTACGGAGTTTTCATTGAGGAAGGAAACGTAACACAGTTCTTAGCATGAACTTAAGAAATTATTTTACATTATTAAATAAATCATTGCTTATAACAAAAATGCAGACCAATCCTAGCTTAATTGTCTAACTGCCTAGCTGTTTGGTATGCCAAAATCATTGAGTACAAGGTCCCTCTGCTTGTACTGCAGGTGCCACATCATCGATATAATCCACAACTATTTCTATTACTTAAAAGAGAGCACAGCAGGAGAAGAGATGGTGTAGCTAAGCCCTTAACAACAAAAGGTGAAAGGCTGCTTTATGGAAACCAGACCTTCTAATGCTATTTCTATGGTGTAGTTGTGATTTTGGTTATTGGAAAGTTATGATGCACAAGGCTGTACCACACAAGAAGAAGCAAACCTCAAAATTAAAAATTATTAAGAAATGCTGTGTCCCATTTAGCTATTTGTGAGTTCTGATGGACATGATATAAAAATAGCAGTTCTGGGCAGACAGCCTAGATAAAACATTCATTTACAACTTTTACTGTTCAGTAAAAAAAAACCCACAAAAAAACTGATCATAATGACCAGAAATCCCTTTCCATGAATAATCCTTTCACCACAGCTGTGGTGCACGCATTTCTGCCTGAAAGTTGCTTTTGACTTTGACAGAATCCTAATATTGGCAGTAATGAGAACAAAAAAGTACAGCAGAAATCATGCTCTTGTGCTTTTGGAAAGTCCATTTTACACACTACCAAGAAGAATTCTATTGCTCTCCTGGAACTGCCAAGCAAAATGAACTTTAAACTTTTCAATGCCTAAGATGTTGAAAATATATACTGACATCTAATCATTCAGAACCAATTTCAAAGCATCCCACTACTTCGTCCTCACAGATGTCAATTTTGAAAAGTGAGAAACATCTTCAATACAGTTCAGCTATGAGACATGTCTCCAAGAGTGCAAGAAGTTACAGATGACACTTAGGAAAAAAGGTATGCAATATGAAAAAGAGTACAGTGTGGTTTAAGTTGACTCTTTGCTTATATAAAAATAATAAACACAGAAAGATGAAGAATATAAATACCGTTTTTTTCAAATTTGAAGACACAGTACTTTCCTTGAACAGATGGAACAACAATTAATGAGTATATACAACAGTGATGATTAGAACGTAGTAAAGTCTCCTGCCTCTGGCAGAAGATAAATTCCTGTTCTGTATAGATGCTTTTGCAGTTTCAGACACATGTATGAAATCAACGCATTTATTTGTCTTTGTAAGGAGGCACAGTAAAAACAAAAATTCAAGTCTTGCAAGCATCATTAGATACCAACTATAAGAAACAGGAAAAAATAAATACCCACCTAGCTTTGCCTCAGAAGTGTCCATCTCCCATTTGCTTTTCGGAATGTAACCCTAAATCATACACAGAAAGAAGCTCGGAGGATTAGAGAGAGACACACATGCATATCACTTTTGAACTGGAAACAGCATTACACAATGGGAGTTTAAGGTATTTCTTTTTGTAAGGCACAATTCTCATTATCAGGTGGAGACCAATTACTCGGTATTTCAGAACTTCTGCATCCACTTCCCATTCAGTAATTTCAGTAGCCCTTGCAATCATTACAAGAGTGCCGCCCTCTACAAACACAGAACTCCAGAATGAGTCTGACAGACAGCAAAGGCACTGTGTGCAGTTACTGTATTGTATTATTCCAGGTGGCAAACTCACTGCAACACAACTTTCAGGCATAAAGAATATTCAAAGCTTTACAAACACAAATGAAATAGTCACCATAAGTTTTTATGAACACATTCCCAGATTTAGTACACACAAGCTTCACTTACTCCTTTTGAAGGGACATACTAAATTCATGTATGAGTGGTTAATCCACAATCAAATGGGGTTTTTTTTTTTTGTTTAAATAAGAGTATCTGCTGAGTCACTAGGATTTAAGTACTACTTTTCATTTTAAAATGGTACTCTTAGCACAATGATTCTTATAAAACAACTTTGCCCTACAAATAATGTCACCATGTGTAATGAACTTGAGCCAGTTTATTCTTTGTAAATGAGCATAATGAAAATAAATTTGGCAAAAAGGTATTTATTTTAGTTAGCCTCTTGTTATATTTCCTTTTTATATTCTTTGACTAGTGAATTGTTACTAAGTAACCCTCATTTCAGCTGTTCAGTTTCGGTATAAGAGTACTTATGTTCCTCTGCAGCCACATAAAAAAGCTCAAGGTAGTGAACGGAAACTCTCCGAGAGAATTTCATTATTTTTTAGAATGTTTTTTAATAGAGAGGAAAAAGAACTACTCTAGAAGATTTCAGGAAGAAAACAAACAATTCACAAACCAGTTTTATTACACTAACTTCTTTCCTGCTTTATTTATAGGTTGCTTCCACTGTGGTAAAATTATATACGCATTTGTTAGTTCTATGTATTACTAAATTTGTGTATTCCAGTAAATTCCAGAGAGCCACACTGCATTTGATTATATTCAGCCAGCACTGCTCTTAATAATCCTTGAATGAGCTATTTTCTATCAAGCATATATCAGTGACTTGAAGTTATCCGATCTCTGGATTTTCTTGGTTTTAATCAAATCTGTAATTAATGCAAACCAAAACAGTTTGTGCTGCAATATTTCCTTGTAACAAACAAACTTCATGTATATACATATGTTTATACACTTAAACCAAGTTGCACTTTAAAGCTTGCTCAGAAAGTTTACACCACAGCTAAAAGCCTGCATTAAACAAACTGATGTGGGATACACTGGTGAGAACACTAAGTTAAATGTATCAATAATTCATACCATCAAGCACAGAAAAGCAGGAATTGTCTGAATGCTACGAACAATCCTATGGGAGTTGATAGTAGCAAGAAGAGTGACTTTGATGGTGTGAAATGGCCTATTGTGTGCTGAATCTATACAATATCCTGGTCCTCAAATAGGATAAGCAAAGATTCAGACTTTATCCTTTGATACAAGACAGTTGGATATTTCAAAGGTATCTGCCAGATGGCAGGAGCTTCAGACCTCTCTTTTCTCACAGGATTAAATGCAGCAAAATGAATTGCATAACCCTCATCAAATGCTCTCAAAAGGGCAAGAGATACCGAATACAGTGTCCTGTTCCACTTTCTGTCTGACACAATTCTCTGAGATTAGCCATCTGACTGAATTCAAGAGATTACCCACAGCAGATAATGCTCTTTTTCATATCTTGTGAATCTGAATAGGACACATTCTTATATGCAGATTACTTTTTGCTTTCTCTTTGTCTCAAAGAAAAGGCCTATTGTTATAAGTGCTGTACATTAGGACACTCCCCGGAACCCGTAACACACACACACACACACAGATTTATGCACAGATGTCTTAAAAACTAAAGACAACTTTCTCTTTTAACTATAGCTCATGGAAATGGGACTAGCAGCCATATTCTTGTAAACATGGATGCATCTTTGAAATGTTCTAACCACACTTCATGCAGTCTCATATTCTGCGCCAAAGAATAATTTAGTGAAGAAAATAAATGAGTCATGTTGAAAAAACCAGATGTTTATTAGAATCCACTTTTCCTAAGTTTTTTAAAATTCTGTTTCAACTGCTTTCTGACCTGCCACTCCTAACGAATAGTAAATTTCCATCAAGGAAAAACAATTTGCTCAACTCAGACATTTTTGGTTACTTCCTGTTTATTGAACTTTAACTGCTTGGTTGTGGGCATCAAGATTTGAGACATTAGACTCATCAAGCACGGACCAGCTGCAGCTCCAACACATACCAAGAAGTTACAGCAGGAAGCCTTTCATAGCCTTTTGAATACATACCTAAAAAAGCCAGCCCCTCAGGGTGCTTCTGTAACCTTTATTTATCCAAGAGACCTAATGCCTCACCTTGGAAATACCACCTGACAAACAAAGTCAGTCAACCGTGGCAGAAAAAGCAGTCTTCATAACTGTTATCATATACTGAGACAGTTGAGGAGAGCTCTTTAGACACGTGAAAGGAAATAAGCTAAATTAATCTTTGCCCATTGCTCCCATCCTTCCACTTTGTGTAGTTCTTAGATTATCTGGAAGACAGCACTATTATGTACTGCAATTTAAAATGTCTCTATGAGGCATGTTACCATGCTCTACGGACAATACTGTTTGTAGCACATACTCACGTATCTTAGAAGTAAATTAGGAAGAAATAATATGATTTATCATTAAAGTTCTCCTAGAAATGTTTAAGTAAAAAACTGCTAGAAACATGGGAGTTAAGATCGCACTGCTAAGAACAACAATGGCTTGGCATTTGTAAGACTGAGATTCTCTCTCAGACACATTAATGAGCAATTTGTTAGGGATGGCTGATGTGTCTCCTACCAGTTCACTTTCTTCTTCCTCTGCTGTGTCCTTCTTGACTTCCTCTTTCTGGTCTTCAATATTTGCATCAAAATCCTCCATCTCCACCTGTTCCAAAGCACATGCACAGACTTACAAGGCACTGTCTGGCTTTAAATGATTTTCTTTTGAACAGAGTAAATAGAGATGTCCAAATTCAAATAGAAAAGAAAGGATTCATCTTTGAAAGTATGATGATGCAATATATATGAATCCTGTGTCCATTCTGGCTTTCCTAAGAAGCACGTTCTCTTCTAGCAACAGAGTGACAAAAGAATATTCTTTACAAATATTTTCTGGGGAAAAGCAAAAATTGTTCATTCCCTTACTTCATATGCATTTCTTGTGTTACCACTATCTGTAACAGCATGATACTTCTCTTGCTTACCACACAATCACATTTCAAAACTTGCAATCTTAGAAAAAGTTCATAAACTTGCCATTTATACATACCTGGAATGGCTGTCTCTACATAGAACATCTCTACTGAGTCTTTATCTTTTATGTATTTTTAAATCACAGTAAAGAATAATAGTAACCACAGAGTTCAGCATAACAAAAAAGAAGAATGAAGACATAACATCTAACTCTGCTCATCTAATGCAATACCTTCTGTGCTCCACAGCTATACTGGGGACCCATGCATATACTCTGGAATACATAAAACTCTCCAAGTCTGTACAGCTCTTTATATAATTTGCAAAACCTTGTAAATCCAAATCTGCCGTTCTCTGAGCCTACTTTAGAGTGGAACCTTTTGCTGTCCTCTTAAAGATCACTATTTTCCAGTACAAATAATTTGGAGATGTAATAATAACTTGCTAACATTGTGACAAACTGCAAAGACCCTCTGCCTACTTTGGCAGTTCATCAGTTTTTATGGCCATGTCAAGAGCTGTTCTGACAGCAACAAGTCATGGCTCATTCACAAAGATCACACAACCAACACACTCATTTATGCCCAGAGCTCCTGACACAATGCCAAAGACAAATGCAACAATGCAGTAAGCTGACGCACCAAACACGCATGTTGCTGCAAACTGCAAATGAAATGAAAAGGCAATTATAGCCTTCTGCTATGTGTGATTTGTTTCTTCATTCTCTGCTAAACATCTGTATTTCTCAAAACAAGGACTGAGTTCAAATTTGTTTATTTCCTTATCTTACTTTCTCAAAATATGATCTAAATAATTCAGTAACTCGTAAAAAGTGCTGAGTTTCATCTGAGAGTGCAAAGATTCTCTTTAACCTCCTTAACTGGTATTCAACAGTTGCTAAGAGCAAAGTGACTTCAACTCTCACTGAAAGATACCTAAGTCTGGGCTTCAAAAAGGTGACAAAAGGTAAACATGTACATTTACATTTGGGGTAATTCATAACAATAACAAAACACACTTTCCTGACACAGCTATTCTGGCTTTCTAAAGTGCCTTCCAGTGATCACATCTTTGTCTGCTCTATATTTTCAGTATAGTCACATTGACCTAATCTGCAGCTTTAACAAGCACAGAGATTCTCACCTCTTCTATAGCAGCATCCTGCAACAGAGAACGAATGTCCAGGCGCATCATGTGGCGTGGTGCTGCCTCCCAGTGATCAGACATCTAACAAACACACACAAAAATGAAGCACCTCTAAAAATCTAACAGATTCATTGGAAAACCTTGTTTCTGATTGCTAACAAGATGTATCTGTACTTCAGTAATTTTAATCAATACCATGAAATAACTACCAGTATTTCTTAGAGGAAAAGTGTAAGCATTATGTAGTCTATAGTTTTCAAACAACAGCGGGCCCAAAAGCACAATATGACTCCAGATGTAGATAGTTACCCTGCTGATATCCTTTAGCTTGCGCCCATGGATATTCCTCTTGGAACACGTCTGGTTATCTGCACTCATTTCAGCTAAGTAGACCTAGAAAGAAAAAGACAATATTAAATATTGCAAACCAATTTTTAGAGCTCTTTTTCTACGTTGTGACACACTCCGCAGTTGTACACTTAAAAAAAGGTAAATTTGCAACTGTAAACCACAGCATTTTTCCTGAATGTGGGAGACACATTCCAATCAAAAGTTTAGAAACATCAGCATATGGCTGTCAGCAAGTTCAAATGCTATTTAGGCTCCATTACCTCAAAGCCCTTTGTTTTTGCAGCACTCCAAAACTGTTCAAAGTGTCGCACTCTATCATTGATAGCATCAAGGATAATGAAGGGAAAGAAGCCGTCGTCCAAGGTCTTTTTAAAAGTTTTAAACATGCTGGTACGATAGGTCTCCTCCATATCAGCCTCATATTCGTACTCCATCACCTTTACCAAGGACAAAAGCATTAAGAAAGAGGACATCTATAAAATGGCTAATATTCAACACCTGAATGGCATAACCACAAAGTACACTGGGGTGGGAAAAACACCTTTCAGGTCAGTACTAAAGAATTTGCTCATACCACCCTAACATAACCCTAAGTTATATTGGCTTGTTTTGAACAACAGCCCAGAGACCTCTGCACTCTTCCCAACCCACATTCTGGAATTCTGATTGCCACTGTTTTTCCAGAATGTCTTGTTTCTTTGTCAAGAAAAGTAACAGAATTAAGACTACCTTCTTTTTAACTTTTTTCCCTGTATCTGGGTCTCTCTCCTCTTTCTCCACTTCAGTAATAAAGTAGTCATCCAGGCTGAGCACTCTTGGTGCAGGTCCTCCACATTCTACTTCCTTATCCTGAGAAGAAAGCAAAAAGAAAGGATATACCTTTGCTGTAAAAATTCCATTCTGCTACACTTCAAAATACTTCAAAATCTTCAAAAGACTTTTGGTCAAGAGCAGTTCCCTGCTCAATAGTAAAAACAAGAAGAGAGTAGTATCCCTCCTGCTTGCTAATACTGGGGGAGATTCACATAGCACATGAAGACATGGAACATAAAATAACTACAGACTTGAATTCTAGGCAAACAGAAAGCAAACAGTAGAGGAAGCACATGTAAAAGACAAGCAGCACTATACAGTGAGTGCCTGTTTACATACCCTGATGAGTTTTGCTACATGTGTCTTTCCACTGCCAGGTAACCCTCTCATGATGATCACAATCTGAAACAAAATCACGTAAGCAGATATGATACTGTACTACATTTAACAGACTCTCTTTTGCAAATATTTTCTTCTGCAGAATTATGTGCTGTGGGCTCACACTTTTGTATCTCATCAAGCACTCACTGCCTGTTTTAGAAACCAGGCTGTGAGAAACAGTAGTAGCTCCACATAATTCAGAGTTTTTGACGTTAATGCAGTTTAGGCTGCATGCTATAGGTCTGGTTCAGTTTCACTAACTTCTTTCATTCAACTGAATGAAACTTACCTAAATGTTTTATAGCCTAAATTGTGCTCTTTCTTACATAGTACGGTGCATTGCCAAATCTCTGTGTAAAGACAAGTTGTTCCCCTGTTGTTACATCAAAAACCAAAGAGAAGACCTCAGAAGAGACCAAAACACCTTAATATTACACACTAATTTGCTTTGAGCATTCCAATGAAGCTCACCTCTCCTGTGGACTCCTATTAGCTGTGCTACAACACTCCAGGCATTTGCAAAGGAACTAAGTTTCCAGAGCTTCCTCAAATGTACACTGGTTCCCAACATATTACATCCACCAGCATTTTATCTGGATACAGACCTTGCTCAAACTGATTGTTGCTTCCAGAATGTACACTCACCCTCTCTGGCCTGCTATCCCGTCCTGGTGGCTTTAAAATATCATCTACATTTTTAGATTCTGGCTTCCTTTCTACTCGTGGAGCAGGTGGTGGCTGACGAGGCATTGATGGAGCAGAAATAGGAATCCTTTCCTCAGGGTAATTTCTACGATCACCTTCAAATTCCAGTGTTTGGACAGAAGAATTTTCTTAGTTCAGTAAAATAAAAAAATTAAGATGTTCTGAGCTGATTTAAACACACCTTCATTATTTTAAGTTAAATTCACAGATATGTCCTCATAAATAATTAAAATTTCTAATCTTAAACCTATTGCAATCAAAGACAGTTTTTAGCAGAGTATATAACAGTTTCATTCATGATCTCAACACCATTGAAAAACAAAACTAAATGCCACCACCTAAAGAGATTTTCCTGAATTATATATTCTGAACAAACAAATACTGCAAATCAGTCTTCTACTAATTAATCTTCCCCTCTGCAAGTCTATTATTTTTAATAATATTCTAGCATGACTTCAAGATAGAGAAACTGTACCTCCAAACATGGAAGGCCCATGATCATATGCTGGACGATCTGTCTTTCGTTCATATGGTGGTCGCTCAAAACCACCCCGCCTGGAGGATGGATGGTCTTTCTTGTCACGGTAAGACTGAGTTCTTGAAGGTGTGGTAGGAAGAACCCTGCCAAAAAAGTATTTTGTGTATTTTTGTGAATTTCCACTGTGGATTCCAGAGTGAAAGGAACATGTACCTCGCAGGCAAAACGGACAGCCTGATACACAATACAGCCTCAAGTGCATTGATCTCCATAGTGTTCCAAAATCACGTACCTATCATCGCGGGGATGCCGCTCCTTTTCAAATCTCTCTCGTTCATAGTCCACAGAACCTCGGTCTCTGTGCAGTTCCCGCTCTCTCTTGAAATCCCGATGATCTGTGTTGGAATTACCTTGACGCTCAAAATAAGGCTCACGATCTCTTTCTCTGTTGTAGCGACCTGGATGCTCTGAAGGGAGAAACCCGTAGAAATCTAAACTACTTCTTTGGAAAAAGAAGGCAACAGGTAAGAGTGCAAGAAAAGTATATGACATGCGAGCTAGGATGCACTTAATCAGACACTCTTTTTCAAACTGTACAACAGACAACCATACTGTGCAGTCCTACTTAAAGCTACAAAACTGAATTTTTAAAGTGACTAGGTTATTGACTCCTCTTGAAAATATAAACTGTTATTCTTATGGACTTCTGAAGAAAATAAAGTGGTTGTAGCTTAAACAAGAGTTACTTAGTTTGAACAAGCTTTTAGCATCTTACAACTTTTCTTTAAGAGCTAACCAACTCTATGAAAGCTAGCCAAGCACCTCCTACCTTTTTGAAATGTTTGCCTGTCCGGCAGAGGCTCTGGACGAAGGGTTACCCTCTCTCCATATGGAATCTGTTCCACTTTACTCGTGGTTATATCTGGTCAAAAATAAACAAAAAAATCCTAAGGTTTTAAAAAACGCCTTGTATTTTCTTTCCTCTTAATGAAAAATAATCAGTCAATGGCATTAAAAGTGACTAGAACAAACTACCATAATTTCTTTTAATGGATAACGTCAAAAGAGCTTTACACAAATAAAGAGCACTACGGTTTTTAAAGGCTGAAGTGGGTTTGTGTGCGTGTATGTAAACCACTCCATCTTAACAATGGGACTTCGGCCTTTTCAGGTGAGTTCAGGCAGCATGCAGTGTCAGAAAATTATAAACATTAAAATGCTTTGTAAGTTTTAATAACTCAGAGTTACTGCAATGTCAAGAATAGTAACTGAAAGTCTCACAACAATGACATTTTTTCTAACAGCTTTTAGTAAAACATCTGCCTAATGGAACAGATATGGCTTCCAGTGCTGTTATGGTACTTTAGAGAGAGAAAAAACAGTCTTTAAATGAATGACAATGCACAATTTAAGAACTTCTTTATGACATTATTTCACTCCTGTTAAAGGAGGGAGATCAATTCTTTTAAAAACTAGTGCTGAATTTTAGCTTTAGTAAGTTCAGTAGTAAAAAGCACAGCTCTCCACTACTTACTTACATTTTAAACAACCGTATAGGGTGCATGCCCTTCAGAACCAGACTCTGTCTCCCCCTCTGGCTAGAGGGTACCTCACACCCATTATATAAATAATGCAAACACCAGCCACATGCTGTTTTAAATCACTAAATCACACCTAAGAACTCTAACCACCCAAAGTACCTTCTAGCCCAGTTATTTCCATACTCACCTACAAAGGGATTAAGGGAAAGTAACACTATCAACCTAAATACAGCGCATCATTTTGTATTTATTAGAAGCACCCATGACTATACACCATTCATGGAATATACACTGTTCATAGCTCTTTCTAAAAGCATCAAGAAAAATACTAAACTCAGAGTCATAACAGGTTAAAGGTTAGAGACTCCTTATAACTGCACTGCTCAGCATTACATCATCAATGCACACAAGTCTACACATCAAGTGCAGAACACCCATACTTTGCATGGCACACTCCTTTAAAGAAAAAAGGTCAAGAGGATTAATTAGCTCTTTGATACATATCAAATACACTGCAATACCCACCTCGCCCGTGGCCATAATCCACCGTTTGCTGAATGATGGGTGCTTTAGGAACTGCTGGAATAACGGGAGAAAGGGACACTGGTACAGCTGATGGAATGGAGGTGTGGACGGCAGGTACTTTCACAGGCGAGGAGACAGGTGGAGGCATCATCGACTCCTGCTTACACAACTCGTACTCCATATTTGCACCTTTATCCTCATTTGTGTCCCACAGTCCATGGAATGAGTCCTCATCCCAGCGTTCCTGTTCCACAGCAGAAGGTGATGGTTTTAAAGATTGACCATGACTTGGGGTTGTAGTTGGAGTAGAAACTGGAGCGTGTGGCCTTGTCATAGGTGTAGTAGGCCTTGCCAGTGGGGCACTTGGTCTTGTCACAGGGGTGGGCTGTCTGAACAACACGGGAGGCTTTATAATAACAGCAGGAGAAGGTTTAATAGCTTGGGCTTCTACTGGTGCCTCTGAAGATAGCTGAGAAGAGACCTAGATGCAGAAAGCACTTTTAATGTAGATCTGTAAACTAACCTTCTCTCATCCTCAGTATGTGCAATGGCAATTGGTAGTCAAATCATACATATTTTCTAGTACCTCCATCATGGTGCTACAGTAGGAGGACTATTTTTAAAAATTGGTGACCTGATTTAATTTTGTGTTTCCTCATATGTGAAGGCTTAAACACTACTGATTTTCTTCAAAACAACCTTACCAATTTTAGCTCCAGTAGGCCTATCTCAGTTCAAAAGTGTCTACTGTTTATTCTCAAAGACTCCTGCTGTCTGCAAAGATTCCTGCTGTCTGTGTGAAGGCTGAAAATCTGAAAGTAGGGCAGCTTGTTGAGACGTAAAAGCATTGATAAGGCCAGTTTCTTTGTGGAAACCACTGGAAAAATTCAGAGGGCAGAAATACCTGGAAAAACCTTAATAAAATCAGTATCAGAAGAACATAAGAAATGGGAAGGTCTTGCCTAGTTGAAAACTAAACCAAACCAAATCCTTCATGAACCAAACATCCACAAGAAACCCCACACGTTACAAGAATTTTCAGCATCAGAGCAGATGTCAAGTTACAGGCAACCTTATTAGCAACATACAACAAAAATTGCAGGATGGTTGTAGATACAAAGCTGAGCTCTGTAATAACAACCCAAAGTCAGAGCAGAAATATCTGGAGGCAGGAATTCCAAGGAAGACAAAATTTGATGAGTGAAGTAGTCTGAGATACAAAACATCAAAAGAGCATAAAGTAACTTCCTAAAGGAATCAACATACCTGCAGTTCTTGGTAGCAAATCAGTTGCATTATTTTACTTTACAGACACTGTAAACAAGGAAGAGGTCACCCAGGCAAAAAGAAAATTTGCGGTGCCTCAGTCACCACATAGCACTTCTCTGGATGGAGGGACAAAAAAAGGCTGGTCTGACTAAATAAATGTCAGACCCAGAAAACCTTATGGCTAAATTTATTAGTGTGAGTAACTTTGGGGTTAAGATGTGATGAAGAACACATCAACTCAGATATCTCCTCCAATACACATTTAACAGAACTGTTTACTCATTCTAGGAAGGATTTATAAACCTGACTTAGCATGACTGCAGAAGTTCAGTTGATTTCTGAATGATCAAAAACCCCAAATATAAGCACCTGAGAGCAGTTCCCAGAACTGTACAGGAAATTAAGCAGTAGAGTAGTTGCATCACAACAGGATGGAGGTACACAAACATGAGTTTCCATGCACTTCATGATATTATAGAAGCTAATAAAAATTCCCAATAAAAACAGCAAACAGAAGGCTAATGCCCATGCTACATTGAAATATCTCAATTTCTGATGGACATATCCTCGAGCTTTTCCATCTTCAGAGTAGATAGCTCCTGAAGTAGGAAAAGCAGTGCAAATTGAAAGAACTTAAGCAAGGAAAAACAGGGTCTTCTTGTGAACCTTACATCCCCGTTTTGGGAGAGCTCACTTCTTTTTGCACATTGTCACACAGCAATCTAGACTGCTGAACCTCATGTGCAACCATCCCTGATGGGTCATACTCAGAACACATGGTGGACTTGCAGGTGTAGAAGAAGGGATTACAAGTGACCTCACCCCTGATAAATCACAGTTGTACTAATTACAAAGAAGAACAGACTTGCCTTAATGGGCTCTCACTAATAAAGATAAGTGTGATAGAAGGAATGGGTTGGCCGGTTAGGGAGAGCCTTGAGGAAGAGGACCTTGAGGAGGTAGAGGAGCCCTGTGGAAGAAGAAATGATCCAGAGAGACACAAAGAAGAACAAAACAAGGAAGAGAGCTGCTGCTGCAAAAGATCTGCTGTGAGGTCAGTTTGGGTCTGATAGAGCTGGAGCCTGCTGTTGGAGCCTGCAGTCATAGCTGAGCTAGGTAAAAGCCTGCAGTCAGAGGCAGCAAGGAAATAGTTGCAGTCGAATTCCAGCAGGAAATAGCCAGCAGTCAGAGTCTGTCAGAGAAGCCAACAGCAGGAGTTTGCTGTAGTCGGAGTCAGGATGGCTAAACTGCAAAGAAGAATAAACTGGGACCATTTTCACATTGTTAAATGAGTCTGTGTCTTGGCTCATTTCCACCCCTAACCAGAGGTCTGCTGCAACAGACTGAGTAGAAAATGCTTCTGAAAATTTAAAGAAACTAAGAAGTTGTTTTTTCTCAACAGAAGATAGGATTACTGGGGACACATTCCACAGAGAAATTTGACCATGAGCGTGTAGAACTGGTTCAATATACATAAACAGTAATCACTACCAACATGTTATCAGTGTAAGATGAATTTACCTGAAAGGCACCCGGCCTTGTGCTTGTGTTTTGTGATCTTGGAGACTCTTGGGTGGAAATGTCAGGTTTGAACTCCTTCAACTTCTGTAGCTGTTCTTTTTGCTCCCTGCACATGCATCATAAGAAAGTGTTATCATAGTTTAAATGAAAAATTAAAGAAATCAATGCTCGTGGTGAGAACACATATTACACTAGCATCAGAGACAAAAGCCAAAAGAAGAAAAGGACACAGCAGGCTTTACACGGGCAATGCTGTGACTCAGAAATCCCTGTTTCACATCCACCTAACCATGGAGGAATTCAGTGAATTAGCTGCATGCTTTTTAATTACACGTTTCCTGAGACATGTAGTTGTGCTTTGCCAGAACCACTCCATTTGAACAGTAAAGAGAAAAACTGGATTTTTGGCTTCTGCCAACACCTTCTGCAAGCAAGAAACCCCTTGGAAATGCATACCTAAGTGGTCTCAGTTACTTGCTCTGGTTCACATGGTAACAGGATTGAGGCCAACAAAGCACAAGAGATTCCAATATATAAAAGCCAAACAGTGAGTCTAACTTTTGCTTCTTTGGTTTATGTATCAAAATGCTATTTAATATACAACCAATACATAGTCTATAGAGCAGAGCTCAGGTTCACTGTGAGTACTACATCACTGGATTACAAATTTCTAGTGAATATGATGTCCTTTCCCTTCAGTTTTTGTTAGCATTTTTTAATCTAGGTTTTTCAATTGCTAATAACTCTGTGTATTGAAGCAGTTTCTAATGACAACTAGGAATGGGATCCCTCTGTAAGAAGATGTCACAGAAACCACCCTAACCAGTAATGCATCTGTTCAGTGTTCAGCAGAAGGGGAACTTGGCTCAAAGAAAAGAATCCTCAGTGTTTTATAAATACAAAAGAGTAAACTGCGCACTACACTAGATCACAAATACAGAACAGTCTGCAGCTGAGCCCATGCTGTGTTACACACAATAAAAGCAAAGCCAGATGAAGGCTTTAGTTTTGGAGATGAAAGCAGTTATGTACCACATTACTGGTATAACTCTTGGCTCAAAAAATCCCCATAAAAATTAATAAGCAATCTCCATAAAGTTGTTCCTACTGTTCAGACTTAAATCATCTGCCTGTAAGAACCTAATGAGAAATACCACTGTAACTAATTTGAAGATTACCCTAATATTCTAATAAAAATCCTAATACCCTAATAAAAATCAGTATCATGTTTATATTTCCCCTTTTTACTGGCTTTGAAAGATGTATATATAACTACTTTTTACATAAAACATTTTAGTGACTATGTTTAAATTATTTAAGCCCTAATAAATTTCTCTCGTAGTGATTCCCAAACTATGGTCCTTAGCCTAAGTGACTGACTTGCAGCCAGTCACAATAAACAGCAAAACATGCCAGGCAGCTGAGGCAACGGGAAAGTCAGGAAGCTGAAAAGAATGTTACTGCAAACTTTCAACAAATACTACTTTATAACACAAATTTCACAGTTAATAACACCACTGAATTAATCTAATTGCAGTAAATTATTAAATTGTTCAGAATAAAAGTTCTTCCTTTTAAAAAAATTATTTTTCTTGCATTTTGGCATGCTTCTAAGACCTTCTATATGGGACAGGTGCTCAGCAATCTTACAAATCTGAAAAGAAAACAGCCTTAAGAAAAGGCCAAAACATCTCTATCATAAAATGGATTGGGTTGGAAGGGACCTCAAAAATCATCTAGTTCCAGCCTTCCTTTCACTAGATTAGGTCGTTGAAAGTCTCATACAGCCCCATCTCTCCTATTACTAATTTCATAATAAACACTTATTAAAGCCTTAGGAAGTCTAGCAGCTGCTTTCTAAAAAAGAAATGTGGTCTTGATGAACTCATGCATTTATACCCTCCTAATTTTTATATCACTCCTTTTATGCTGATTCCCAGAACTTAAGATCAACCAAATTTGACAAAATTGTTCACTGACAATATTGGGTTTCAAATGAGGAAACTCTGTAAAAAAACCAAACAAATGAACAAAAACCCACCTATGTTTTAACTTAAAAGTGAGCAATATCAAAAAAATAAGTCTTAAGAACCACATTAATGTAGGTCTTGAGAGGTAAGTACTAAAGAGCAATTATCACTAAGCTCATCTGATATCACCAAAAATACTGAAAAGCAATTATCCCCGAGTTTATTTGAGGATAACAAAAAGGCTGGTCAGGCAATGGGACAGATCTCTTCCTGGAAAGTAACATACAGGGAGCACCATATTCACAGGGAAAGGGACAAGCATCTATTTAAGAAAAAAAAGTCCATCTACAAAAACTGTGGTAAAGGTACTCCGAATAACTTGTTCCACATGAGCTCCTACAATCATGCTGTGGGTAAAAGAAATGAAGCCATTACTGTGTTGATTCAAATGGATCCCACAGAATGGGATTCTTATACAAAATCACAGAAGCAGGCAACTCACCGAAGCATTTTGAGCTCCTGGGCAGCCTTCAGAATTATCTCATGCTGTCTTTGGCTTAGGACCATCACTCCTCCCAAGGACTGGTCAGAGTCCAGGTTTGAATCTGCTCCCAGCATATCAGAGGAATGTGAAGGGGGAGGAAGGGATGAATCTGAGTGGTCATCCAAAGTCCGCAGTCTCTCTCCATCATCTGGATACCACCTATCCGACAACCGTTCCCTCTCCCAGTCAGTCCTTTCAGGAAGGTAGTCTTGCTTCTCCCGCCATGTGTCGTATCTCTCCGGATATTCTCGAATCCTGAGCTCCCCCCTGTCTCGGAGATCTCTGTCATAATGATCTCTGTTCCTATCGTCCCTCCACCTATCTTCACGATACCTGTCCAGAGGTGGAAGGGGTGGTAATGGTGGTAGAGGGGGGATATCCAGGTCACGATTCCCCATTTCTCTGTCATCCATAGGTCTCCTGTCCCAGTCTCTATCCCATTCTTTGTCTAAATCTTGATCATAAATATCTGAGGATCTTCCAGTTCTATCTAGATCTCTCTCTAGTTCCCTTTCTCTTGGCCTTTTCCAGTCATCCCACCATGAATCTCGTCTGTCGTGATCAGACGATAAAGGAGGTAGTGGTGGTAGGGGAGACAACGGAGGCAGTGAATGGTGGGATTGCAACCTGTCATCTCTGTCATACGCATGTACAGAATCATCCTGATAATCAGAGTTGTGATCTCTCCAGTATTGATCTCTTTCCCACTCATCCAATTGCTCATGCTCCAAAGACGGGTCATCTTGACTATCTAAAGGAAATTCCTCCTGCATTGTATCATCTTCATGACCCCAAGAACCCCTGAATGTTTCATCTCGATGGTATGGAGGCAATTTGTCAGAGTCATCTCCCAGGTGAATGGGTTTACCCATATTGCCTGTTTCAGATCTTCCTGCTTCCCTCTCATGGCTATCTCCCCTTCTGATGGGACACCTCTCCCGGCTACCTGCCCGCCTGACCAGGTCCCTCTCCCGGCTACCTGCCCGCCTGATGGGGACCCTCTCCCGGCTACCTGCCCGCCTGACGGGGACCCTCTCCCGGCTACCTGCCCGCCGCATGGGCTCTCTTTCCCGGCTAGAGGCCCGTCTGACCGGTCCTCTCTCCCGGCTTCCTGCCCGTCCCCTATCCCAGCCGCCTGTCCGTCCAGGCGGCTCTCTGTCTCGGTTAGAGAATACCCTCTCATGGCTATCTGACCGTCCCAGCCCCCTGTCTCGGCTGCCTGACTGTCCATCTGGCATCCTCTCCCTGCTGCCTGACCGTCTATCCGGTATCCTTTCCCTGCTGCCTGCTCTCCTGAACACTCCTCTGCCACGGATGGATGCCTGCCTAGCCTGCCCTCTGCCTCTGTATACATATCCTCTACCATGGCCATCGTCCATCCTGCCCATGCCCCAGCCATGGCCATCATCCATCCTGCCCATTCCCCAACCACCGTCCATCCTTCCCATTCCCCGGCCACCATCCATCCTTCCCATTCCCCGGCCACGGCCCATTCCCCAGCCGCGGCCATCCCCCTGCCCTCTGCCACGGCCCCTTCCTCTGCCTCCTGGTCCCTTTCCTCTGTCTTCATGCATGAATGGCCCTTTTCCTCTGCTTTCTGGTCCAGGCAGGCCCTCAGTACTATCTGAAGCAGTCAACTGGCCATCTGAAGAATCCAAATCCTGATTTCCTGTTGCAGGGGCTACTGCATCCTGGTTCTGAATAGGTGGGGTGGGTGCCTTGGACTCTTCTACTTGCTGGTTGGGATCATGTGAACTCCATGTCCACTTTTTAGGAGGGTCTGAACTAGGTTCTTTGACTTCAGGTTTGGATGGCTCCTGTTGAGTGTCCGTCAGGTCCTCATTTGGCTCAATGGGACCTGCACTCTGTGCGTCAGGAGCTGACTCAGTTCTGCTTACAGACTGTTGATCACCAGCTGTGTCTGTAAAAGGTTCTTTGCTTTCTGACTGTGATTCTACCTGTGTCTGCTGCTGCTGCTGTCCCAAATGAGGCCTGGGCCCCATCCACCGTGGACCACTAGGTCGGGAACCGTGTCCGTGTGATGCATTCGTTGTATAAAATTGTCCTGCTGGTCCTCGTGGGATAGAGCCCCATCTACTTGAAGACTGTCCATCTGTATTCTGTCGGTCAAAACGTGACCTGTATCCTTCTGAGCGCTGGGAGTCAAAACGAGGTCCTCTCTGTCTTGAGCCTTCAAATTTGTCATATCCTCTTCCTCGAGGTCCATCAAATCTACAGATGACACAATAGAAATTTTATTCAAATGAACATGTCATATGAAAGTCCTATAGATTAATTTCACACAAAACAGAGAACTCATGTCTAAAGTCAAGTTGCTTAGATGTTTGGGATTCACAGTTGTACATTACTGGATGAGTCAGGAAGGCCAAAGCATGGCTGAAGCTGAACTGTGCAAGGGATGCAAAGAGTTCCAAGAGGTATGTCAGCCAGAAAAGAAAGGTCAAAGAAAGTGCACCCCTTGGACAAACATGACTGGCAAACTGGTAAAAATGCATGAGGAAAAGACTCAGTACCCAACAACTTTTTTGCGTTTGTCTTCACTGACAACCCTACGCCTCCTGAGTGGATGGATCGCAAAACAGGGACTAGGGGTGCAAAGTCACTTTCACAATAAGAGATCAGGTTCATGATGACCTGAAGAACCTGAATATATGTAAGTCTATGGGACCTGATGAGATACATCTCAGAATACTCAGGGAATTTGCTAAGTCACTTGCCAAGTCACTCTCCAAGTCACTCTCCATGGTATCTGGAAAACAGTGACAGGCGAAGTCAGGTGGAGAAGGTGACTGGAAAAAGGAAAACACTGCACCTATTTTAAAAGAGGGTAGAAAGAAGGACTCTGGAAACTACTGACCTGTAAGTCTCACCTCTGTGTCTGGGAAGATCATCTCAGAAGCTGTGTGAAGGCACATGGAGGACAGGGAGGTCACTAGAGACAACCAGCACAGCTTCATCGAGGACAAGTTCTGCCTGACCAACCCAGTGGCCTTCTATGATGGACTGAATAATGGATAAAGGAAGGGCTATGGATGTCATCTGTCTGGACTTTTTAAAGACCTTTGACATGCACCTCCAAAACATCCTTCTTTCTAAACTGGAGAGAGATGGATTTGATAGATGGGACTATTTGGTGGATGAGGAACTGGCAGGATGGTCACATCTAGAGGGTAGGGGACAATGGCTCAATGTCCAGCGGGAGATCAGTGACAAGTGGTGTCCCTCAGATGACTGGGCACTGTTTTTTATCTTCATCAATGACACAGACAGTGGCACTGAGTGCACCTTCAGCAAGTTTACAGAGGACTCAAGCTGAGTGGTGTGGGTGACATGCCTGATGGACAGGATGCCATCCAGAGGTGCCTAGAAAAGTTTGAGAAGTAGGCCCATGGGAACCTCATGTGGCCAAGTACAAGATCCTGCACCTGGGGCAGGGCAGCCCCTGGTCCCAATAGAGGCTGGGCGATGCTGGGATCGAGAGCAGCCCTGCCAAGAAGGACTTGGGGTTGCTGGTGGATGAAAATCTGGACATGAACCAGAAATGCCTGCTCACAGCCCAGAAAGACAACCTGTGCCTGTCACTGCGTATCACTGAGCTCTAAACCAACACACATAAAAGACATGCACTAGCAAGTCATGAAAACAGTCTGTTCAGAACTGTACATCCAACAAATCCCGAGGAACAGAAACACTTTTTTAAAACTACTAGGAGGTAGAAAATAATTAATTTATATAAAGCTCATGTACATTGCTAGCAATTCACAAATTATGATTCATGATCGATCACTTTGGAAGCAAAGAGAAGGGGAATAACCATGAAGACATTACTGTAAAGTCTAGCAGAGTATGCAAGGATAGAAACAACTGAACAGAACACCACTGCCTTTTGATTCAGCAGTCATCACACCTACCCACCTCGAACTAATGAGCAGATAGAACAGATGTTGTTTTTACACCCTGGTATCATGTATTAAAGAAAAACATTCTAAAAACAAGATCTTGGATTAAATTATATAGCAGGTATAAAATCAGCAAAGACATACCAAATATTTACAGCAGCTTTCCTATTTTCAAAGAAGGAGCATTGTGTCTTTGAGAATGAAAAGGGGCAGCAACCCCAAGCACTTTACAAAAAAAAAAAAAAAAAAAAAAAAAAAAAAAAAAGGCAAACTGCTCTAGATTATGCTCAGGTGAAAGACATTCTATGTATCCTTGCTTTAAAAATATAAATACAGAAAGCATGGTGTACATACATTAAAAACAAAACCTCCACTGCACAAATACACACTTCCCACAACCTCAAAAAATCTGAGAAAAAGATACGTATTTAATTTCTTAATAAATCACTGAAAATCTTGTAGGCTGGAATATGTATAAACCAATAAAAACATTCTTACCTAGGGCCTCTAGGGCCTTCAAAACGCGCTGATCTGGGAGGATCTGGAAGCAATCCACCTGACCTCACCGGTTTATCCTGCACAATAGGCGTGTGTGTCGAAGACACTGCAGAAGTGCCTTTCAGTTCCCCACACTGTTGTTCGGATGAGATATTTACAGTTTGTTTACTAAGATGACCTTGAGACTTTCCATGATCAGATGAGCCAAAGGATGAACCTACTTGAGAATGGTAAGGTGAATAGCTAGCTGAACTAGCTATTTTTGATGCATAGGTACCAGGGGTGGGAAGGAGAGCTGGCCTTGGTGTTTCAGTAGCTTGACTGCTTTGAGAACTGGATCCTGAAGGGACAGAGGAATTGGATAACTGAGAAACAGAAGAGAGAGGCGGGGGGACCAGTGGAGGTGTGGTTGAAGGTAAAGTTGGAGGCATAATAGGAATGCCACCTTGACCAGTTTGGGAATATGGAATAAATGGAGGTGGCAGTGAAACATTTGCAGGATATTGATTCTTCAGATTTTGGAGCGACGTCACTTTTTCCTGCAGATGTGACTGAGTAACCTTCATCTGTTCATCCCATGCTTTCCACTGCTTCTCATACTCTTGAAGCTGGTCTTTGTGAGGGTAGGTTTGAAGCTGATGCTGCCACTGCTGGTTCATTGATCGCTCCCAGTCTTTATGAAGCTGCTGGAACTGTTTTTGCTGTGCCTCATAATGTCGCAGCTGCATGTCCACTGACATTGTCTGCAATGAGATGACAAGAATAGGTTCAAAACACCTTTGATAGTCAGTTACTCTCAGAGCTATGTATTTCAGTATCACTTGTAACATCACAATTTCTGATGACTTGGCCTCAAGCCTGAGGAAGAAACACACCGAAACAAAAGCAAACACCAACAGTGACATCTAAAGACATAGTGAAAATTTATATATTTTATGACTGTATACTATATCTATGTACAGAAGACTTCAACAGGACAGCTGAAGAAACCTATAATCTGTATAAACTGTATTATTACTACATCCTAACAATGGCTAAAGCTCAAATCAATCTTCACATATACATTATGTGACTATTTCTCAAGGTTTCAGTTTTTGCTATTAACCTGCTCAGAATTGCCTCAGCAGTCTGCAATTATTTTTCTTTAAGCCTTTGCCAGATCTTGTTTGCACAAATGAAGCTTCTTTCAAGTTCTGTCTTTCATCATGTGAAAATATCAGGCTTGATTTTGCTTGAGATTTTTAAGGTTTACCCAAAAAGATTAAAAAAAAAAAATCCAAACTCAGACACCCCAACCTACAAAGAAATGCTTAATGTACGAACTCTTCCAACCCAATAAGAGTTGACTCAACTCTCTAATACAATAATCAACTTCTACTTAAAAGCTTAAAGGTTACAATACTGGTTTCAACTGACTACATGAGTTAAAAGTAATGTGAGATACTGATTTTTAAAATTACATTTATTGTCTATTTTTGGCATCTACAGTTATCATTGTACATTTTTATTTTTGTAAAAAAGAGCAGCTTCCAAATTATTCCGTGCAATCATCTAATTACTTGACCTTTCTGAACTGTTTCTCCAGTGGCAAAACATTCAAAGCTGAATAAATTCAATACAGTCTTCAGCTTTGCTCCTGTATCACCTAGGGACATCCAAAAAAATTTTACAAGAAGTGTAAAATATTGTATTTCTCATCCTACTGAAGCGTCATCACCATCTGTCAATGCTTTTTTCATTCTGAAGTCGAGTGACAGTAGGGAAAATGGACATAAACTTCTACCCAAGCAGAAAAAGTTGCCAGACAAATGAACAAACCATTACAAATTATTCAACTATGTATTTTTCAGCAGACTACGAGTGCTGGGTCACCCAGGATGTATATCAAACACCACCTCTTTAGTGTCTCACCTCTAAGTGTGGAGGCTGTTGCATGATCTGTTGATACTGCTGTACTATCTGTTGCAGCTGAGCGTGCTTCTGCATTATTCTCTGATACTGGAACCCAACCCGCTGATGGGGGTGCTGCTGCCATTGAGCTGCTGCTGCTTGCAATTGCTGCAATCTCAAATCCTCCTCAGGGTCATCAGGAGGTTCAATATTGAGCTACAGAAAAAGGCAAATAAACAAAGGAAAGTTGCTTCTGTCAGAAAAAAAAATACACTGGGTCACTACACATTTTACAGGAACTTTGTCACTGTTCCTTACTTTATCACTCTATTTCAGTGCTCCAGCCATACACAGCTTCTGGAAAGCTGATTTTAGTCCCACCTTTTCTGAATGTGAACACATTTTTTCTTAATGTGAACAGTCTAATCTAAAGGTTAGGCTGATGGCAATTAGGTTATTCATACATAAAGAAACTACCTACAGAAAAGAGATTAATGAAAATCTGTTATCTGTCGCTCACAGCAAATTAACGAGAAACAGTGGTTTTTCATGATAAAGTAACTCCAAGTGCATTATTTCCACCACTTTGTAGGAACCTGCATGCTGTAAGTTAAAGTGGAGCACATACTGCTCAAACATCATGACCTCCATCTATTATACAGTAACTGTTATTGAGCATGATGATGAAAAAAACCTCTGTGCAAAATGCTTGGCTTTCAGACCAATTCAAACGCACAGAGAGAAAGGGAGCCAGAATTCACAAAGTGCCAGGGAGAAATTAAGAAATAGTGTCTTAAACATAGCATTCCTCAACTGAGTACCTACCTGGTTTTGCACTCTGATATCACGAGGTGATCTCACAGACAAAGATGTCAACGTTGTGGATGGTGTGGGGGAGTCAGCTCAGACTTGCTTGGTGCAAGTGTGGGTGAATATGCAATTTTATATACAAGAAGTGTATTTTCTAACTGGTGCAGCTTTAGTAAATGTTTTTTAAAGACTGCTTCACAACATTTAGTTATTGTTACAAAGTATAGAAGAGAATTTGATGGCATTAGTTTTCCTGGGGTTTTGGCTCATCTAGGATACAAATGGAGTGACATCACTTTACAAAGCCTACCTGAGTTTCAGTGGATGTAAGAGAAGACTCATCTTCTTTGGATGCTGGAGGCAGGGATTCATTAAGAGGAGGAGGTTCAGACTGCTGAGTTGAAACACTCATTTTCTCTTCTTCAGAGTCCTTCACTACTGGACTTTTCATCTGCTGCTGTCCCTGAGCATGGGCTTTTGCCCTTTGCTGCAGGCTAAGCAGGTGCTGCTGGTACCAGTATTGCTGCTGTTCCTGTAATAGACATAGATTTTCTAAGTTTCACAAGAAAAACAATAGAAAATCATTAATGACAGCCACTAGAATCATACTGTAGAAAAGTTTTTAAAAGTTTTGAGGCAAAATTCACTTCTTCAGCAACAGTACTGCAATGGATGTCAGAATATTAAATCAAAAGCCATAAACCATTATGTGATGTACAGAACCCACAACAGAATTTACTTTTTACACCCAACAAGCTTACTATTCTATAACTATAGCAAACAATACTAACAAAAATCTGGAGCACAGGCAATAATAAGCAAAATTACTACAGACATGCTGTAAGTACCATGTCTATTGGTTTTAGAGCTTTTTATAACTAAGAACTACAGTAAAGAGAAAAAGAAGGAAATGTACAGGAGAGATGAAGAGGATGAACAGAGAACACAGACATCAAGTAGACTGAAAATGGCAGCTGAGAAATTGTGGTGAAGATGTTTGAACAAAGCCATGGAAAGTAAAAGACCAGTGAAGATTATGTATCATCTAATTCTCATTAATCCTGATTCATTCAACAGCTGAAGAGGGAAGCAGATATGGTTGCACCCCAAAAAATGATCCATTTAAGAAATAGCAAGCCTTCAGTTTTAAATATTTCAGGGTAGAATTAGAAGTGCTCAAGGCAGATGACAGAAGCTTCAAAAAATAAGCTGCCACTAACATAAAGAACAAAAGACTAGAGATAAGTATCTCAACACTTAAGTAATGTCTTAAAGAAGCCTGAATAAGAATCAACAGTTCTGTATCTCTCCCAACATGAGAAATGTCAGGCACCAAATTAATAGAAAAACATCTGTGGGAGGCTACTCTTCACCTAACATGATCTTGTGCCACCAGAGTCCCTACTAGAGACCTCTCCAAGGGCTAAAATTTTGTGGACTCAAGACATAGCTCAGAAAAATCTACATATTTTGAAAATAAATACACCATTTACAGCTAAGGCAGCTCCTGTATCCTAGGAAAGTATTGCTATACCCTTGATTTTTAAGTTGTTCTCTTAACATCTGCTTTTAGTCACTATCAAAGATAGAATGATAAAATACTCTAATTTTTGGTCTAACCTAGTGTCCTGGTTTAGGGCAAGTTTGGGAGATAACCTCCAAAGGGGCTTCTCTACAAAAGCAGATTCAATTGCCCCCTCCCCCCCCAACTGGTGCGGGAGAAAATATCTCCTTGGAGGAAAAGTGGAAAGAAACCTGTTTATTAAACAATAGAACCCAAACAATATAAAACAATAAAACTTCTCACTGTTCCAAAAAAAACAAACTCAGAACAGTCCCCTCCCGGGGTTGCAGCTCGTCTCACTCAGTTTCTGATCAGTCTCTCTGGTGCTGGAAACGCCGCGGCCCAGGCCGGGCCAAGGGGCCTCAGGTGGAGCTGCCGGTGCTCTTCTGGGTGTTCAGTCCAGAGCAGGCTTGAACAGATCCAAGAAAAAGGAAAAAATCACAGTCCAGGGAACTTCTTTGCCTCAGCTAGCTAAAACTAACTAAAAGCAAAAAAAGGGGAAAAGAGGAGCTCTGTCCTGCTGTCTGTACATCTGCAGACAACACAGTCCAGGAGCAGGAATGTGGAGGAGTGAGTGCAGTCTGAAAACAAACTGCGCGCTTCTTCCCTCCCCTCTTCACTCTCTGGAAGAGAGTCTTAAAGGTGTAAAACTTATTATTCAGTATAAACAGAACAAGACGATTGGGGATAAAAGCACCATATAGTCAACCCAGGACACCTAGTGCAACCATTCTTGTGCTCTCAATTCCATTAATTCCATTATCTCCATCCTTCATACCTTCTGTTTTTCCTTTCCATCCAAGCATGCACAGTTAAGAAAAAACACCTATATAAAGCCAGTCAGAAACAGAAAAGATTCCAAATAATGCAGGCATTTTAAAACAAAAGTGTGACAACATCAAAGCAGTAAGTGCTGTCTGATGAGATTTCTCAAAAGTGAATCACTGCCCATCCTAAACAGGTTTAGAAAAGGAGTAACTTTCTGCTAGAAACCTACCTCATGCTCAGATCAGAAATGATGTTTTCTATAGGTAGGAAACACAAATATGGAGCTGTATTTTTAGAAAAATACTTCTGTAACTTGAAAATGAGGTCAATGAAATGAGAGACTATGCTTCACAGACTTTAAATTGATCATGCAATTATTCCTGCCATGAATCTTTTAAACAAGACTGTCTCAGAAGAGTTCCATAGTTTTGAGCGGAAGATACGCATTCACACTGCGGAACAGACTGTCAGAAACTCCAACAACATGCTGAAGTAAGTGCAACTCAAGGGAGGAGCATTCTTTCCCAGCTATACAGAACCTGATTCAATTATCCATCCCAAAAGGCACCCACTATGAGGTGATCTGCCATCACGGTGCTAGATGCTATGATGGGTGAACACATGTTCTGCCACAGAATTCTTGTCTCCACCCACAGATCCATTTTTTCCTCCTCATTCCACCAACTGGACATGGGGCTAGAACTCATAATATGACATGGCATTCCAGAGCTATGGTAATATAATCACCTATTATTTTCAGCACATGAGTCAGTCACATCTATTACTGTGCTATCTGGAAAGTATAAGAAGACCAGAAAGTAGATCCTTACAGCTTAGTCGTAAGAAAACAGAAGTGCTAGTGTAGAAAATTTTTCATAATGAAGAATTCAGTTATTGAGTGCTTACCTCCTCACAATGACTTGTCATTCAATTGAACTTGTCACCTTTCAAGTCTAATTATAATCCTTAAGCCCACAGAAACCATGAGCATCAACAAAGGCCTCTTCCCATCTCTGGCTGACCAAGAGATGAGGCCTGTTGAATTTTACAGGAACACTGAAATCAGCACTATCAACTCCTGGCCTCAGGACATACCACCAAAAACGTTAATGTGAGGTCCACACCAAAAGACTACTCCAAACCTAATTGTAGTTATGGTATTTTGTTAAAAATCCTTTCCTGGGATTTTTCCCCTCCTGAGGAGCTGAGAACCTCAGCAAAGAAATGTAAACAATTACTATCTGCTGCTGTGGAAAGCAACAAGTGCATCTTCAACTGGTCCATGTAGATTGTTTTCAATTGATGACCAATCACAGCCACCTGTGCCAAGGCTGTGAGCAGTCACAGGATTTTTGTTATGCATTCTATTCTATTCCTGCTCTTTGCAGCCTTCTGATCTTTCTTTTCTCTCTGTTCTTTAATATAGTTTTTATGTAGTGTTTTAATATAACATATAACATAACAAATCAGCCTTCTGAAATGGAGTCAAGCCTTGTGTCTCCACACACAGAGAGTTCATCTCAACAGGTAATACAGGTGACCCTAGGCCATAACATAATACCTATTGTGGGGACACTATGTCCTTTCCAGATGAAAATTGCAAAATAATGGTTTAGTACCCTCTACAAAACAAAAGGGCTGTTTAAAGAGCACAGCAGTCTGCTAAATGGTGAGGTGGTAAAGCTGAGGTAGCTTTAACAGATGTAGATAAATGCATATTTATGGGTACAGAGGTACCCATGCATCCTTGGAGTAGGAAGAGCATTGCCAGCAGGCTGAGAGAGGTGATCCGGCCCCTCAGCCCTGGTGAGGCCACACCTGAGTGTTGAGTCCAGTTCTGGGCTCCTCAGTACAAGAGAGACTGGAACCCCTGGAACAAGTCCAGTGGAGGGCGATGAAAATGTCAGTGGAGTGGAGCATCTCTCTGTAATAAGAACAGGCTGAGGGAGCTGGGCCTGCTGAGCCATGAGAAGACAACTGAGAGGGGACCTCGTCAATGTGTACAAGTAACTGAAGGGAGGGTGCCAAGAGGAAGGATCCAGGCTTTTCTTAGTGGTGCCAAGGAACAAGGAAAGGGGCAACGGGCAGAAACTGATGCACGGAAGTTCCACCTGAATATGAGAAAAAAAAGAACTTTTTTACCAGGCAGGTGACTGAGCACTGTAACAGATTGCCCAGAAAGACTGTGGAGTCTCTCTCACTGAAGATATTCAAGAACTGTTTGGAATACACAACCCTGTGCCATGTGCTATGGGATGACCCTGCTTGAGCAGGGAGGTTGAACCAGATGACCCCCTGTGCTCCCTTCCAACCTTACCTAGTCTGTGATACGGTAAACAAATAGCAGCACACATTACCCAAGTATCAGACGGAACACTAAGGAAATACCACTGTTATTTTAACTTCATTTGACAAGAATAGAGCAATTTAATCTAACTATATACCCACAGAAGAAACTACACTAAACTCACGATACTGTCAAGGGAAAGAACAGTATTTTAGACTGGAAAGGAAAATAATAAAACACCAACTCGTGGCAAATTGTGTAGTATCTTCTGAGTTAAGAGAAAAACACTGATATATTTGTCTGCAGCCCCTGCTACTGTGGGATGAGAAACAGAAATAATTGCTTTCAATTGCCAGTGAGAGACTGTGGAGTCTCTCTCACTGAAGATATTCAAGAACTGTTTGGAATACACAACCCTGTGCCATGTGCTATGGGATGACCCTGCTTGAGCAGGGAGGTTGAACCAGATGACCCCCTGTGCTCCCTTCCAACCTTACCTAGTCTGTGATACGGTAAACAAATAGCAGCACACATTACCCAAGTATCAGACGGAACACTAAGGAAATACCACTGTTATTTTAACTTCATTTGACAAGAATAGAGCAATTTAATCTAACTATATACCCACAGAAGAAACTACACTAAACTCACGATACTGTCAAGGGAAAGAACAGTATTTTAGACTGGAAAGGAAAATAATAAAACACCAACTCGTGGCAAATTGTGTAGTATCTTCTGAGTTAAGAGAAAAACACTGATATATTTGTCTGCAGCCCCTGCTACTGTGGGATGAGAAACAGAAATAATTGCTTTCAATTGCCAGTTTAAACAACGGCTTAATAGGATACTACAAATGACAAACTACACTGTTTCTTCACTTGGCTTTTCAGACTACTACAAGGCATGAAAGCATCACTACACTTAGCTTTTCCCATTCCTTATAGTGTAAAAACTTGTTACTCCAAACCCTGTCTCATTTTACAGCCTATGATAGCCAAAATCGTATCAATCTGTTATAACAAAGTTATGACCAGGAAAATATCATATTCCTTTTGGGTTAACACTGACCTGCGAATGAGGGCAAGCAAACTACTCAAGACAGAAGCTGTTTGTATAAACACTCATAAACCAGACAACATAAACTTCGGCAGTATTCTGCTGCTTCCATGTGTGCACCACAATAAAGCATTATTTGCAACTCTTATGGAGATATTTTATCAATATTTTATCATTGAGTTCAATAACTTAAGAAGTCAACAAGCTGACTCAATACCAAATTAACACCAGTTTCTACACGTGATTTTTTGAGGTTTTAGTTTTGTCATTAAAAAATGAAGTAGTCTTGTTATCACTGTAAAAGATCAATTAGTACTGTCCAAATCCTGCATAAAATTAAGTGAGATTGTCCTGGTTTAGGGCAAGTTTGGGAGATAACCTCCAAAGGGGCTTCTCTACAAAAGCAGATTCAATTGCCCCTCCCGCCCCGCACCGGTTCAGGAGAAAATATCTCCTTGGAGAAAAAAGTGGAAAGAAACCTGTATGAACTGAAAGCACTACTTTGCCAGGCAGTAATTAGTTATATGGTACAAATGTAAAAACGGCATGCCCAGCAATCATCAAATTTAAAGTGTCAGTGACTTCAATATGACACAACACGATTTTTGCAAACCTAGCTTCAAATCAGAACCTTAAGATCAATTTACCAAAAAAACAGATTGAAATAAAGAAATTTCCAAGTATGCAGTTCAATTTTGTCCTTGCAAGTGGCTCCCAATAAGATAACTCTAAACCCTTGCAAAAGCCTCAGTGAATCTGCCTGACCCATGTACATAGCTGAGGGCCCCAACACGTGCCTCACTGTGCATGCTGAACCTCAAGCCTGGATTCTCCCTGACAATGCAGATGAATAGTCCCATCAAGTTCACTGGAACTGGTCTCATTTAGGAAGTGAAGCACACAAACATCTTGCAGCATATTGGCCCGAGTGTACACATAAAAATCACACAACTGTAACATTTTTCACTTCAAGGCATTTCAGAACGTTTCCCTCCAATGCCCTATCCAATTTTATACTGGAAGATCAAGCACATGTAGCACAAAGAAGAGGGCAAGTACGTACTGCAACAGAAACATTTCTGCAACTTTAACTGTGTGTTGTTAGATTAAAATAGTCACAATTCTACACTGATCAGGCAGACAACTGCAACTCAACCCATTAAAAACAAGTGACATTGCAATGCGCGACAAGGAAACGCTGCTGCATCTCACAACTGGCCGGACAAAGCCAACAGAGGTTAGGGGCGGGTCACCCACATGCTGTACTTTGGAATACATTCTCCAGAGACCAACGCACGCTCAAGAAAATTAAAGTCAGCCAGGATTCACATTTTTCCCTAAACATTTTTTCTCGAGAAATGACAATTTATTACATCCCTACCAATCAGCCTTTATGAAGGCTCCCCTGAGCTGTGCCATTGCCACACTTCCACGGACTGCGTCCAAATCCTTTCAATATTATGCAAATATAGTGTGTTTATTAACTGCCCTTACTCGGGGACCTTTGCAACACTCAGTACACCGCGGCTCATCGCCACCGCTGCCCTGGCGACTCCCCGCTGCCAGCCGGGCGGCCTTACCTGGGGAGTCATGGTGGAGGGGTCCGGCTGCTCCGTGCCACCGCCCTCCTTGGCGGCACCTTGCGCGGCCTCCGGCTGGGCAGCGGCGGGCGGGGGCAAGGACGCCTGGGGCGGGGGGAAATGAGCCTGCGACGGCTTGACCGGGGGAGGGATGGAGGGGGCCAGGGCGGGCTGGGAGGGAGAGGCCTGGGAGGAGAGCAGGTAGGGCTGGGGATGTGCCATGTAGCCCTGGGCAGGAGGCGGCAGGTAGGGCTGGGAGGCGGTGGCCGTCGGGGGCTCCAGGTAGGAGGGCGGCGGCTCGGAAAAGGAGGGGGGCGGCTGGGAGGGCTGCGCCCGGGACAGGTAGGGCTGGAGCGGCGGGGACTGGGCTTAGCATGGAGCAGGGCAGGCAGGGAGCAGGTAGGGCTGGGCGGGGGGCAGGTAGGGCTGGGCGCCGGTCTGCGGGGACTGCGGCGGCGAGGACAGCTCCATGTCCATGGGCACCGGCTCGGCGGGCACCGGCTCGCCCCAGTCGCCGTGCCCGCCCGGCGGCTCCGGCCCGTCGCGGTCCCGGGCCGCGGGGGGCGGCTTGCGAGGCGGTGGCTCACGGTGGGCGTACTGCTTCTGGTAGCTGCGGACCGGCGGCGGCACCGGTGGCACCGGCGGCTGCTGCTGCCAGTCGGTGAAGGAGCCGGGCAGCGGCGGCGGCGGCAGCCCCGGCGGGGGCGGGCCCGGCGGCGGCGGGGGACCCAGGAGTACGGACTGCAGCTGCTTCTGGTGCATCTGCTGGAGCTGCTGCAGCTGGGCCAGGTGCTGCTCCTGCAGGCTCAGGAACCCCGAGGAACCGGCGGGCGGCGGCGCGGCGGCGGGGGGCGCGGGCCCCGGCGGCGGGTAGCTGGGAAGCGGCATCGGCGGAACAGCGGGAGGCGGCACGCTGGGGGGAGGGATGGGCAGCGGCGGGGGCGGGGTGGGGGGGGGGGGGGGGGGGGGGGGGCGGCGGCGGGTAGTGCCCGGCCGCCCCGTACAAGCCCCAGGCCGGGTACATGGCGGAGCGCGGAGCGGACACAGGCCGCGGCGGCGGGCGGCGCACGGCGCCTGCGCGGAGAGGCCCCACCCCCGCCGGGCAGTCGAGCGTGAGCGCCGCGCCAGAGCGCCCCGCTGGGCGGGGGACAGCGCAGCCTAGCGGACAGCTGCCTGCAGCGCGGGCCGAGGCGGGAGGCGAGCCCGGAGCGACAGACAGACAATCGGGACGGGACAGGAGACGGGACGGGGGCTGGCGATGCACGGGAGCCACTGCGGGCCCGGCGCCGGGACTTCCGCTGTGTGTAGGGTGCCGCAGGCCCTCCGCAAGCTAGGCTGTGTATAACGGGCCCCGTGGCGGCCCTCGGGCGGCGGCGTCGGTGCTCTGCCTGCGCTCGGCCTCCTCCGCCAGCACAGCGAGCCCGAGCAACTTTGGTCACGTTCACTCTGCAGTTCATGCCTGCTGAATCACGGATCCCTGGGCACTGCAGAAAGGCAGGTGTGGAGGAAAGGTCCTAGGACTTTTCAGTCAGGAGAAATATCAAGAAAATCACATTGCTAGGTAGAGAAGAAGCTTTATCCACTCTGGTGAAAAGGCTGAATTTTATGTTCATTTGTTGCTAAATTTCAGGAAATCCACAGAGGAGATACACCATGATTCTGCAAGAAAATATTTGACTAAATTAAACTGAGATGCAAATCTTAAAGAAAACTATCTTAATACTTATAGAACTGCCTTTTCTATTCTTTAGTATCTCTTGTTTTTATTTAGAGGTGATTATTTATCCTTTTCTATTTAGGACAGTCTATTTAGATTTCTCTTGCAGTGAATATGACTTTCAGATAGCATTTGTATTTTTAGCCCACATCCACTGTTCATTATCCTGTACTTAGCATTTATGTACCTGAGTTCTATGGGCCAGTTTACTCACTAAGCTTTTGAAACCCTGTCCTTCCAATACAGGGAATTCCTGTTGCAAACATCCTTTAATTTATCCTCCTGATCTATTCACTCTACGTGAGTTCTCTTGTGATCAGTTTACTAACAGTTATTTCATGCTGTTTTTGCTGTTTGTTGTGGTCACTCAATATTGTCAAGAGACTTGTTACTTCCCTTATGAGGGAATACGCGTACCTAAACACTTTCAGGGCAATTGCTTTCCAGCCTACATTGTGGAAGCCAAAATATAACTTCCAAATAACTTGACAGATGCTTTTCCAATATTCAAATCTGGTTTGGGCTGCAGTACAGTTGACTCCCACCAGACAAGGTACACTGACTTTAATACCCAATCTTACCAAAAAAGCAACCCTTTTAAGTTCACATTATGCCCTCTGATTTTTCTATTCAGAATATGTTATTTTTATTCTTTTATTCTGCTCAGTCTGTAATATTAATGGGTGCCATCATGTTGGTTTGGGTTATTTTTTTTAAATAGCTCATGTTCTTCCTGCTTCCAAACACTATTATACACATTTAGTTACCCCTCAATTAAAGTGTTACATCTTGGATCAGCAGCTTAAATTTCTTCATTGGGTAAGGCTGTAGTAATCTGGTGCAGTAATCTTTCTGGTGGCTCCAGAAAGGAGTAGAAATTATTTTCTACCATTCTTTGCATATATTCAGATTTTCTTTATGTGGTGTTCCTGTATGTTCTCTGTCTTCAGAAGCTATGGAAACCGGCTACAGCAAGAGATGGGAAGTTAGCAGGGAGGCTGAATTCTCTAAATACTAAGAAACACTGAAAGCATCTGATATAAGTCCTGTGCAGGTTTAAACCAACTGCCAGAGTTGAGTCAGGAAGGAATTTCTCTTCTGGTTTGGACTGACAGAGTTCTGCATTTGTGGGAACATCAGAATGTTCCAGTTTACCAAACTCTTTCCTGTGACAATGATCTTTCCTCGTCTGACATACTGTGAATTGGATCAGACACTGGGGTGCCATGGTGTGCGTGGAGTGAACATTTTCCTCTGAACCAAGTGTTTGGTACACAGGCTGTCTGGCATTGCAGGAGAAGCACCTGATCATTCAGGTGGTCCTCTCCTGTCCTACTTATCTTCTGATCAGACTCTTCGAGTTAATAGCCAAGTTTTTTGTCTTACCAATTATACTCAACTAATAAAAATGTCCTGATGGGTTTGCTCGCTGCCAATACTTTCTTCTGCTCATCCTCCAACCCTCCTAACACATCTTTATCAATTGCCTCATACCTATTCCAGATTCTTCCTCCTTTTACTAAAACAAGGCAGAGTAAAAAGAATAAAAGACTTCAGTAAATGAGCACATTTAGCTTGATGCCTACCCGCTGTTCATGCTAAATACATATATTTTCATGAAGTCCCTGCAAAAGGCATTCTGCTGGCAGGTATATGTTCCCCAAATTCATCAGGCTGCTGTACCTTTGACCTCTTCTGTGCCAGAAAGACTATTTTCAAATGTTACCCTAAGTGTCCATTCCTTTCTTCTTTCTTCCCCAGTCTCCTTCCACTTAGGTTAATTCAAGTGAAGCTATTTGCACTGGAACAATTCTAGTTAACTATTGACTCAAAGAAGTCTTTAGACTTCTTCATAATTTTTCAGAATTATTCTGAAAAGCAAGTTACAGAGATCTGATCCTACAACTGTTTCTCAGTCCTCACTTGACTAAACATGGGCTTCAACTGTTCATGACAATACTTGATCATTAGCTTAAAGAAATATGGATTGGACTGAGATAACAAAACTAAGGATATTATTTTTGAAATCTATGTATTATATACTAACTGTAAAATCTCTCCATTGCTGGCTACTTTCTTCCTGGCTAGAGGTGGAGAAAATTAACTTTAATTGTGATAGCCTGGAAGGGACTAAATTTTCAAAGAGTCAGTATGCTGTTATTTCAGGGATGTTTAATAGGTGAGCCTACAACAAGCAAAGAGATAGCACGAGAGGAAGGTCTGATGTGTTCCCAAAGTTTCCTGCAGTATCTGTAGAGGTATGGTGGTGGCAAGGAAGTTACCAGGATGTCAGAGCATTTCCCAAAGACAGGAAATTATCTTTACTGCATGCTGTCCAGCATACAGACAGCCAAGTTCAGCTATTATAGAATCGTTAAGGTTGGAAGAGACCTCCAAGGTCACTGAGTCCGACCATTAACACAGCACTGCCAAATCCACCACTAAACCATGTCTCTAAGCACCCCATCCACACTTTAACACTTCCAGGCCCAGTGATTCTACTACTTCCCTAAGCAGCCTGCTCCAATGCTTGACCAACTTTTCAGTGAAGCATTTTTTCCCAATATCCAATCTTCCTATGGCACAACTTGAGGCCACTTCCTCTTATCCTGTCACCTGTTATCTGGGAGAAGAGACTGATGCCCACCTGGCTACAACCTCCTTTCTGGTAGTTGTAGGGAGTCTTAAGGTCTCGAGCTTTCTTTTCTCCAGACTAATGCCAGCTCCCTCAGTTGCTTCTCACCAGACTTGTGCTCCAGGCCCTTCACCAGCTCCAATGCCCTTCTCTGGACACGCTCCAGCACCTCAGTGTTCTGTCTTGTACTGAGGGACCCAGAACTAAACACAGGACTCAAAGTGCAGCCTCACCAGCACCAGCAGGGGGAGGATCACATCCCTAGTCCTGCTGGCCACACTGTTTCTGATACAGGCAAGGATGCTGTTGGCCTTTGTGGCCACCTCTGCAGCCAAACCAGTGTAAGGTTTGGGATAGACAGCTTTATCCTTAAGGATAAAGTTCTTAAGCTTTGGAAATTTTCTTAATTACACCAAGAATATAAATTTTCAGTCTTCTCCTGTACTACTGATCCAGCATTTTGGCCAGAAAGTGTGCTTTGGCATGTTGGCTCCTGGTGACCTTCTCTGCACCACACAGCAGAGAGCATAAGAGCAAATTATATTGCTAAAAATGAAGGAATAATGGAGGAAATATGAGAATGCCCAGTTATGGCTTTGAAATACTTTCCCCCCTACATTTCTTCATGTGGTTTAATAATTTCTTTTCCTTCCCTCCCTGACCACTTCCTTCCCTGCAGCAAATTCTGCAGGTCTCTGGAAGACTCTTTATCTGCAACCATTGTGCTTATTCCTCCATGACTGTGCTCCCAGCCCAAATTAATACTTTTGTCCATTAGACACTTTCCTTCTTGTCCCTGATATGTAACAAAAGTGATAAGGCTTTGAGGTGCATAGGACCTAAAGAAACAGGAGTGAAAGACTTGTCCCAACCCAACCCTGCCCTGCCCTGCACCACTCTAAATGTAAGCAAAAGGACTGGGCTGCCAGCTAATCAAGTACAGAAAGAGCAGTCTGAGAGGACACAAACTTCATTCACTGTGCAGCTGAATAAAAGCCTATCAATTCTGAATGAAAATCTAGACTGCTTTTCCAGAGAAAGCCATCAAGTGGTGCAGATCTGATGTCTTTTTGCAGAATGCAGGTTCTGATTTGACTGAACGGGTGTGAGGTAGCTTCCCAAACGAATACCTGACCCAGGTATACTCCAGGTGCAGCAGTAAGAAACTTTTAAAATCTCTTGTGGTTTAATTCTTAGTAAGAGTTGCATGAGCAGTACTTCACTCAGAATGCTGAAATCACATTTTCCAATGGTCCGAATACATTCTTGGTCCTGCTGCCCTCTGTTTCCCATATGCTTCTCCCAGCTGTAGGTAATCAGACCAAGGCAGAGGACGGATTAAGAAAACCAGATTCTTCAAAATAGCTTTTTCTTATAAAAACAAGGTTAAGAAGTCAGTTTGGTGCTGTCCAGAGTCCTATGAGCAGAGTTCCAACAAAAGAAGAAAGGAGGAGGGTAGAATCAGAAGGATCCTTATCCTGGCTCACAGTCCGGGCATTGATGGCTTGACTGGACAGGTTAGAATCGGGGAGCTCCATAATCATCTGGCATCCTCTCAATATTGTACCTGAGAAAGAAGGAAAACTTATGAAGACAACCTATTCTACTTGCTCCCGTTCCCACTGTGGTGGTGCATCTACTCCCTCTTCCTCCTCAGGGCTGCACTACCATCTCAGGGATTCCTGCTAGGCCTTGGCTTTTGTGTAATGAGTTAGGTGGTGAAGCATCCCTTGAGCATACCAGGAAGCCTTGCATGACTAAGGTGAGAACAGTGCTGACTGCACTGGGAACTCCTGTTGCTAATCTATGGAGAAGGATGAGATTGCCAGTCATCCTCTGACAACCCTATCTAAGTCGTGGCCTGAGTGGAATGGTACCAATGTTACCAGAGTTTTGGAAACTCTAGTAGTTACCAATCTGGATTATGGCCAAGATGTAAAATTTATGACTGACTAAAAGCAATCATTTTGTGACCCTATAAGCAGTGGTCTTAAGTGAGGCCCTTAGAGCTTTCCTGGACTGGCTGTTGACCAAGTATGGGACTAAGACTGGATGCACCTGGACTCCATCAGGAGTTTGGAAAGCAAGGTGATCCTTACTGAGCA